AGTGACTGTCAGTGACACGAGACTGCTGTATGTGCGCCAACCCAAGGTTGGTTTCCTCAGGAAAAAAGATCATGTGTGAAAGCCTGGTTGCAACAGGAGCAATCCAGACTGGCAGGAATTAAGTTAGGTTAGGTTAAATATGATTAAATTACGTTAGGTTCGGCTAGGTTAGGTTAGTGTTAGGTAGGGTTAGGTTAGGTTAGGTTAGGTTAGCGTTAGGTAGGGTTAACGTTAGTTTAGGTTCTGTTGGGTTCTGATAGGTTAGGTTAACTTCGGTTCAATTAGGTTAATTTACGTTACGAGAATGCTGGGGTGCCTAATCTTCACGTAAACAAGAAAAAATTATTTAAAGCTGTGTGGATGATGATGATGGTGATGATGATGATGAGGAGGAGGAGGAGGAGGAGGAGGAGGAGGAGGGTGGTAGGTTGAGGGGAAGGAGAAGGAGAAGGAAAATTAATACGCAAGAAATAAGAAAGAAACGATAATACCTGGAAAAAAAAAAAAGAAAATAGAACAAATACACCACAAAAACAAAATAACATTCAATTTTGTACCGAACTTAAAATCCCAAAACAAAATTAAAATCTAGAATTACCCACTCTGGTTCAAGCTATTATTCTTTATATATTTATAATTTCATCTTATAATCACGATATTTACTGTAAAGGCTTCGTGTGTGGCTTTAAAAAAAATCTACGTTTGTATCAGAATAATATATAATTTATCTACCAGTCCATGACTTTAGTGAGATGTGAAATATAGCGGGAACAGTTTGTATATTTACGTGCAAGTTTTGGAAATTTTGTGGTCTTTGTGGAATGTTATTGTTATTCCTTATTACCCTTCCTTCTGATTCTATCTCTTTTGCTTCCATAACTTATCTATCGTCCATCGCTTTCTTTATTTCTATTGTTCCCCCTCTCTCTCTCTCTCTCTCTCTCTCTCTCTCTCTCTCTCTCTCTCTCTCTCTCTCTCTACCATTACTCGACACAAACAGAAACTATTTTGCTTATCATTTATTCTCAGTTTTATGGGTCAACAGTGACTCAGTTTTCAATTCTTCTTATGTTTTTTTATTGTTGTAGGGTGGAAACACTCACAAGGAGGAGGAGAGAGAGAGAGAGAGAGAGAGAGAGATAAATCTTTACGGCAACTTGTCAATATTTTCGCAAATTTACTCGACAAATGACGACAACTGTCAGGGCCAACACGAGATCCCTTTCTTACGGACAAAACTGCTCTCATATTGGCTATCTTACGGTCTAGTTATCGTCCTATTGGCTAAATTTATGGATAGTTCAGTATTTTATCAAGTGGTGTACTACTCGCGAGATGAATTGTTACTGTGATGTAAATTCTCGAGTGTTCAATTAATGCTGGAAGAGTTGACAGTAAAAAAACATCACAGGAAACTCGCCATGATATTTTGTGTATTTTCAATCCTTGGCTGCAACTTTCACTCAAAACCATTAATTACTACAGCACACATATCATTATATTATTATTATTATTATTATCATTATTATTATTATCATTATTATTATTATTATTACACACACACACAGCTTAAATTCTCAAAACCTACAATACAGTTTATACATTAAATTTAAAGCTTTTTACTACCACTGCTGACTCTGTATCCCATCTTCCTCTGTTCACTGAGCCGTAAAGAGTAAAAGCAAAACTAGCCTGACACCCTTGAGTTATAGAGTAAGACGGTGCCTTCAACAAAAACAGATCTATCACCCTCTACCCTAGCCCACCCCCCATTCCCCCAACCCCCTCACTCGTCACACCCTCTCCCCTAGCCCATCCCCCATTCCCCAACACTCGTCACACCCTCTACCCTAGTTTGACCCTATTCCCCAACCCTCACTCGTCAATAAGGAGGAAAAATAATAAAGGTAATATATTAATCAAGTCCTTATTTTATTAATCAGGTTGGTCGGAATTACCATCTTAAATTCTAGTCAGGTACGTAGAGACCTAGAAAATGCAGTCAGTAGGTCATTTCTATTCAAATACTGCCATTATACAATGGGGTGATATTACTACTGTTATTATGTATTGTGAGGCGGTGGGATGGATACCTGCTCCCGTCATTCTCTCTCTTTTAAACACTTTCCCTCTCCCCTTTTTCTCTCTCTCTCTTTCTCACACTTACAATACACAAACACACACACACACACACACACACACCTTCACTTCTTTATGACTGTGATGTTGTAACTATTCCTGTGAGTGATCTGTGTACGTGCTGAGAAACGACTAGTAACTTCCATATTTCTCTTTCTCTCTTGTCATTCTATCTTTCTCTTTCTGATTTGCTTTATATCTATTATGTTTAATCTCTTCTTGCTCTCTGTCCCATCAAAACAAGGCCTTGGACAATAAACACAACTACGGAATGATTAAGAATGAGATAACACAAAATCAAAATTGGAACATGGAGTGTGAGGACATTCTATGAGGCTGGTAAGTATGTAAACGTGTATAGGGATGTGACAAGATTGCAGTGGGACATTCTGGGATTAAGCCGAGTACTTGAGGTGAAGATTCAGGTGGTGAAAAACATGAGAGAGGTGTTGGTATTATTGTAAACCAGAAGTTGAGTAATAGTGTAAAGAGATATTGGTTAGTGTTGGAGTTTTGTTAGCCAAGTTTAAAACTAAACCCATGGACTTGGTAATATAATACAGGTTTATGCACCAACAAATGAAAGGAAAATTTTATGAAGATTTAAAGAAAGCAAAAGTTATCGTGAAGTTTAATGAGTGTCTGATTATACTGGGTGATTTTAACGCAAAAGTTGGGAAAAGGAAATAAACGCCAGAAGTAAGACCACATGGGTAGGGGAATAGAAATAAGAGAGCAAAACTATTAATTGGCTTTTGTAAGGAAAACAAGATAGTAATTGCAAATACATGGTTGGAGCAACACCCTAGTCATCACTATGCCTGGGTCTCATCCCCAGGACAATGTAAACAACAGGGGAAGCTTGTGCGTCACACTATGTCCCAGCAATGGACAAAATCAAATAGGATTTAGGGAAGCTTAACAGGGGCAGGAACAGAATATGAAATTTAAACCGAAAATAGATTTTCAGTATTGCTAGAGGATAAGTTTGACGAACAAGGACTAGGACAACAAATTGATAATTACAAAGAAATAATGTTAATTATTTTAAGTAGTATCAAATTTAGATTAGAAAGTGAGTTAAAAAAAATATCAAAATGGATTTAGACAAGGAAAAGGAACTAGAGAGCATATAATTGGCTGGGAATTTTGAGTGAAAGGGCTTTAGAGGTCCAAAAGAGTTTGTTATTTGCTTTGTTGATTTTGAAAAAGGTTTTGATAAAGAAAACGAAATGAACTTATAGATGTCTGGGGAAAATAGTCATTAATGAAGGAGTATTACGCGATAATGAAATTACTAATTGGTTCACAGTAAGACAGGGAGTAAGACAAGGCTGTGTTCTTTCTCCAACATTGTATAATATATATTTAAATTATAAATTATTATTGAGAGAAGTTATAAGTGACAATGAAGGACTAAAAGTTAATGATAAAGTAATATCAAATAAACGCTATGCAGATGACACTACTCTTATCACGGATAGTGAGGAGGCGTTTTCAAAAACTGGCAAAGATGAAAGTAATGGCTGTTTCCAAATTGGAAATATACCTTAAAATACAAGTTATGGTAGACAACAGGGGATTTAATCAAGTGCACAATTTTTTGTATTTGGGAAGTAACATTAGTTGTGATGGTAGATGTGCGGAAGAAATCAAAACAAGATTAGGTTAAGCAAAAACAGTATTTGGTAATTTAAAAGACCTAATGAAAAGGGACATTAACTTCAATTTAAGAAAAAGGCTGTTGAAAGGCTATACATGACAAGGACTGTTGTATGGGATGGGTCAGGAGCGTGGACACACTCAGTAGACACCAGAAGGAGGTTGTAGGCCTTTGATAAATGGTATTATAGGAGAAAGTTAAGATTAAGCTATACTGACAGGAAATCAAATGAAGAAGTACTAAGGTTAGCAAAAACTTCAGGAGAAATACTTGAATTGTACAGAAAAGAAAAATGAGATACTCTGGTCATATAATTCTGGATGAGGGGATAATAACAGAAATATTAATGGGAAAAGTTAAGGGTAGCAGAGCCAGGGGAAGGTAGAGACTGGGATGGATGATGAAATTAAAAGTTGGGTCCCCAGAGAGATACAAAAACTTAGAGAATTGGTAAAAACAGCCCGAGAATGATGAGAATGGAGGACTATGGTCGCCAACCTTAAGATAATAAAGACGGAAATGGAATTGCTCTCTCTCTCTCTCTCTCTCTCTCTCTCTCTCTCTCGCTCTCTCTCTCTCATTTTCTGTCCGTGTCTCTCATTCTGTCAGTCTCTTTCTGTCTTCTCTATCTCTCTCTTTCTCTGAATTTCTCTTCCATCTCTGCTATTCCTGTCAGACTAATATTCTCTTGACATCTGTCTTTTCTCTCGTCGTGTTTTTTTCACTGCCAGGTAAAGATTCAAATAAACAAACAGGTAGATAGAAGAATAAGAAATATTATACACACCAATAAGAATTATCCTCTGTCAACTATTTTCATCAGTAACTGTCTATTTCATTCAACCACCACAATTTAATTCATCCATCTTCTATCTATTCCTAATTATCATTTCATTTCTATAATCACCACAATTTATATCCCTCAATCACTATTTAAACCCTTCAATCATCATCTATTACGTCTTAATCAATCCAGAACTCAAGTCAATTCATTAACCTCACTCACGTCCCGTAAGAAACTGGTAAGTCACCCCTGAACATCGGTTTTCTTTTATAATCCTTAACTTAAATTACACAACACAACAATTACCACCTCTAATTACTGACCAGTTGCACCTTTTACTCTATTACGTCATTTCTCAGCAGTAGAAGGTGTAATATAAAAGGTAGCTGTTCCTAACTAGCTGCATCATTGCTACCTTAAGCGCCATCAACATGATTTCTAAGGTAGAGTTGTGGATAAAAATTCCTCGATACATTTGGTAGTATCTGGCATCTATCAGGGGTCATGTATATAAACACGGATTGGGCTTTTAATATCTACTGTTTTTTTATGTAGATTTAGATATGATTAATATTGAAAGGCAGCGTTTAACAGTTGTAAATCAATCACTGGTTGAATTTTTACCATGGTGATGATATTATATATTCGTAGTTGGTGCCTTAACTCAAGTGTTATTATTATTATTATTATTATTATTATTATTATTATTATTATTATTATTATTATTGCTTGGTATAGAATATTTATATAATTTTTATTTTTATTCTTACTATTATCATTATTTTTATAATCTGATACATACAGTATTCAGAACACCAGTATAGGAAGACTGATAAAGTGATTGATTTTCCGTCATCTAATGGCGCCTTAACCTTGATACAACATTATGAGCGTACCTTAAAAGAACATTGTGAGAGACAGGCAGAAAGTAGACTAATGCTCATCTGGGTTACCTTCGAGGATTGTGTCAATGCAGTGTGTGTGGGGAGGGGGGGGGGTGAACGACAGTCGCTGATGAGTGCCCGTGCTGATGCTGAAATCAACCACATAGTTCTTGTAATAAAACGGGTTTCTGATTAATCGTTGCATTAAATCTACATATTGAGCACTGGTTGCATTAGTCAGCCTTAGGAGGGCCTTTCCTGACTGACTGATTAGCTGGTAGATTTTTCCTTCAACTGTTTTAGCGGTGCTGCTGGAAGTTCAACCATCCCACCCGAACAATGCAGCGATCGTTAAATATTGTCCACCCTTGTGTTGTATGACTTCTTAAGTCTGTCAAATTCAGCATTAACTGTATTGTACATAATAGTTGAACCATAATGTATTATATCACACTACATTTTACGGTATGATATTGTAGTGAAGAAGATGTATTCCAACATACAACATAAATCTGAATTGAGTTGCCTGATATTATATTGCTACAAATCCATTTGGCACTGGACTGTCGTGTAGTGCTACGTGTAATGTAATTCTTTACTTCATTAATTTATAAATGTATAACCTTAAAATTAAGTTCGCGAACTGTCTGCGTGGCTCAACAGGTTAAAGTACTGTAACGAGTGTGAGTGGCGTGCGTGTGACCTTGACCCCTTCTCTTACTACACCAGTTGTGTCGTCGATCTCAAGCGAGTCGGACGTGTACAGTAGCAGCTATTGTATTAAGAGTGTTTTGGGGTATTGTCGCAATAATGACAGATATTGTTTTAGAACATAGAACGAACATCAAGTTTTTCGTGAAACTGTGGAAAACTGGGCCTGAAATTTGGGACATGTTAACTTAGGTTTATGGGGATAATGCACTGAAGAAAACATCAGTTTACAAGTGGATTACAAGCGATTTTCTAAGGGAAGAGAATACGTGACAGACGATGACAGAGAAGGACGATCAACAACGAGCAGGACTGAGGAAAACACTGAAAAAATTTGGAAAGTTGTGAGAGCTAACAGGCAATTGGCGGTGAGAAGCATTGCAGATGAGGTGCAGATTGACAGAGAAACAATTAGAAAGGCTTTGACCGAAGAGCCGGAAGAGCTGAAGTTGAGATAAGTTTGTGCAGAAATGGTTGCCGAAAAATCTCAGTGAAGAACAAAAAAAAGAAGAGTTGAAATTTATTCAGACCTTTTGGAAAGAGAATAAGCTGGAGATGACTTGCTTCACCAAGTTATTACCGATGATGAGGCATGGGTCTACCAATATGACCCTGAAACAAAACACCAGAGCGCTCAGCGGAAACATGCAAACTCGCCGAGCCCTCAAAAGTGTTGCATGTCGAAAGTCGAAAGTGAAAACAATGCTCATCACCTTTTTTCGATTCTACGGGTGTAGTTCACAAAGAATTTGTTTCCCCAGGGCAGGACGTGAACCAGTTATACTATCTCGACGTGCTTAAAAGACTCAAAGAAAAAGTTAGACGAAAACGCCCAGAACTTTTTGCTGGAAACAAGTGGATCTTGCATCATGACAATGCCCCAGCGCACACGGCATCGCTTGTTCGGGAGTATTGGGCCGAGAAACAAATTACCTTAATGGAACACCCTCCTTATTCACCTGACCTGACCCCGGGTGACTTTTTTTATATTTCCTTCGCTGAAAAACACATCAAGGGAACGCATTTTGATGAAGTGTATGACATTCAGAATAGCACGATAGCATCGCAAGGGGGAATACTTTGAAGGGGACCACAGCACCGATCCTCGGTAAGATACGTACCAGTGCCTGTAGCATGAGTTCGGAAACTTAATTGTCAGACAATATATATCTGCCCAGGTGTTAGACGGGCGTCAGGTGTTGGCACTGATGCTATTCTCGTGAAAGTGTTAGCACTAATTATCATCTCTTACATACACAGGTGTTGGTCCTCGCCGTGTTGGTGGCTTCTGTCATCGCCCTACCGTCCTCCCACCCCTCTTACGGCGCACCTTCGGTGAGTACAGAAACTACACTTTTCCAAAAGTCCGCTTAATAAACGTTCTAACATTAGCATTTGCAGTTAATCTGTCCCTCAGTCCTAATAGGCCCTGGTCCTCAAAGGCACTAGTCATAATAGGTGCCATTAGGATTAGGGTCCCTTAGGATTTGGGTCCGAATCCCAATGCTCATGATAAGGCCACAAGCTGGTGACAACATGGTAATACTGCTAGTACTAGCTCACACGGGTTTCGATCATGCATTGAGCAGCCTCGGTGGTCTTTGCCTGTTAACATCTTGGAATCTGCTGGATTAATCTTGTCACCTTCCTTCCAGGTTCCCGCTCAGTACGACTTCACCTATGCTGTGAAGGACAGTTACTCCGGCAACGACTTCGGCCACCAAGAAAATCGCAACGGGTACAACACTCAGGGGGTCTACTTCGTCCAGCTGCCTGACGGTCGTGTACAGAGGGTGACCTACACCGTCAACGGCGACGAGGGCTTCGTGGCTCAGGTGGGGTACCAGGGAGAGGCTCAGTACCCAGCTTATCATCCTTCCCCAAGCTACAACCCGGGACCTTCCTATGGGAAATAAAGTATCTGTTGTTATGGTGATTGACGTGTTTCCCAAGTTAGGGTCTCAGCACCATCTCCGAGGGTTCAGTTTATTTGCCAAACAACCAATTTTAACAATCAAGACAGGTTTTCTTTCTAATAATACTTGTTTTATTGACTTACTGACGTGCTTCACTGACTAACATCTTTTACGACGGATCATAAAGTCACGATATACACTACAAAACTTTTAGGAATTTGGAAATATATTGTATACATGTGATAAATAAAGACAGAACTCTATTGGCAGTTTTACTTAATGTTTCTGGAAAACAAAGGTGAAGATTACTTCAACAGTTGTCACACCTAAAACAGCAACTCCCCTGGATTTAGTTTTATCCAACTTCTAGCTTGAGCTTGTGTATGAGAGTCATGGTGGTCATGTGTAAAGTTAGCTTCCAAATGCCGGTGTAAGCTTTCTTTTTGTTATTTTTCTCTGGGAATTTCTTGCATCAGAGATTGAAAGTTTTTTCCTATTTCAGACATAATCTGTATTTTTATATTCATTCTTTCTTATATTTGACAACAAAATGCTTATTAAGGAAAACGTAGTTACATCCGAAGTTGTAGGGTAAACTTGAATGTATAGAAGTTCTTGGAATTTTATTTTCCACAGCTAACAGGAAATAACCACTTAAGAAAGTTTTAAACGGTCTATAAAAGAGATCATTCTCATCAGTCAAAGGCAGCTGGGGAGGGAGAGTATCACAAGAGGCGCGGAGACAACATTTCAGGGAGTTAAGTGTTGAGAGTTCTGGCCAATCAAATTATTATCTATGAACAAACATTTTTCTGACTATTAATGAGTTATCTATGATGGTTACAAGTGTTCCCTGAAGAATGCAGTGATGGGTAGGGAAACACCGGGTAACACTGAAGTCCGTTTATTAAGGGATAGGAGAAATACAAGTGGTGACTAGCGTGTGCCATGCACGGCTCACACAGTCAGACTGAGACTGCCTTGCCATATGGCAGCCTCGGGGCAATGTTGCTACATAACACGTGCAGTGTTGCCACGTAATTATATATATAAATGCTACTCGGCACAGTAGCTTATTTACAAGGTTGCTACTCGGCATAGTAGCTTAGATGCATAACCTACATCTCCCTCCCCCCTCACGCTCATAGTCTTTGTCTTGAACGGACTTCTTAGTCCTAAGTCGCTCCGAGCGTCGAGGTGCACTGTGGGGCGGATCCTCGTGAGGTGTAGGTGACTCGTCCTCGGTCAGGGGGCCAGCAGCAGGGGATGGGACTGGCCGGAGGAAGCGGCGGTTCCTCCACCAGACACGGCCGCTCGGCATCCTGACCTTGTAGTCCCGCGACCGGCCGACGCCCATCACTATGCCCACCTTGTCCCAACGTGTCGTCGTCGGGTCCTGGACGCGGACAAGGGCACCAATCTCCACTGGCTGAAGAGGGCGGGCACGGTCGTCATACCGAGCCTTGGCGTCCTGGGCACGTGTAGCGGCGCGGCGGTCACAGCTCTCGGCTCTGGTCTGCCAGTCCTTCGCAAAGGCCTTGGTGTGTGCAGGAACGCAAGAGCGGAGAGGGTGACCATACAGGATCTGGGCAGGGGAGCGTCCTGTGTGGGTGGGAGTGGACGCGGGTTCTGGGCAGCTCTGTGCGGCAGCGCCAGGCGCGTCGCTCGTTGACTCACGCACCCTGCTGGCGGTGTAACGAGCAGCTGGGATCTGCTCGGGAAAGTCTCTGGGCACCATGCATAACTCCTTGAGGTGCTCCCACGACAACAAGGGTGTAGCGAGAGTAGGCTGCACGTCGATCCATCCGTGACACGACCTGTCGCCGTAAGTGATCTCCGCTTGAAAGGAACCCACAGCGTCCGGCATCTGGGAACCGTCCGCATTGTAGTACAGCAGCTGCGGCGGTGGTCCCAGGTCGCGTTTGGTGAGGCCCAGTTTCTGGAGGTGCTTCAACCCAATCACCGTAGTATCAGCGCCGGTGTCCCGTATCACCTCGATGTGGCCCGACACATCACTGTGTGTGACGGCGACGCGGATGGTAGGGGAAGGGGTAGCCCCGGGGCGTGTGGTCGATTCCACCTTCCTGATGTGACTCCGCTGCTGCTTGGGGCTGCGTGGGCCATCTGGAGGGGGCTGCGTGCGAACCACCCCGAGGGAAGTGCGCTACTTTCCTCCTCGTCTCGGGCTTTTGGGCTTGGGTTGGCGGCAGCACTTGTCGTAGTGTCCATAGCGACCGCAGGCCTGACACTTGTGGCCTCGTGCAGGGCACCTGTCTGTGTTAGACCAGTGGCCCTTACGGTCACATCCACGACACAGTGCGTCGGTGGCCGGGCAAGTCTTGGGGCCATGCTGCTTCCCACAGCTGCCACAGGAAGCACTTGGCGGAGGCGTGGAAGAACGTGTAGCAGCCTTCGCGTTGTTGGCCGCCTTCTTATCCCTCTTGTACTGAGAGATAGCTCTCACAGCAGGTGGGACCCGTAAGGCAGAGGTGGCGGACTTGGTGGCCTCGTATGACCGACATTCAGTCACTACCACCTGGAGTGTGGAGGAAGCGTCCAGGGGGATGAGTCGCTGCACCAACTCTTCCTGCCTGACACCTGCCAAGATCCCATGCTTGATCCAGGCTTCCTCACATTCCCGGCTGTGCGCCTTGCAGACGTCGATCTCCTCTGACAAACTCTTCAGGCGTACAAAAAAGTCGTCAAAGGATTCGTTCTCCGCCTGCTTGCAGCTGGTGAAGGCGCGGAGACGCAAAGCCTCGTTATTCCGACCCTTAACATGCTCCTGTAAAAGGTCGAGCACATCCGTCACTGAAGAGGTAGAATCGGGAGGCACTTGCAACGTGTGCTCCAAAACTCTCTGGGTCTCCAGCGACAAACACATCCGCAGTTGGATGAGCTGTTTGTTTGGAGGCATGCTGTCAAGGTCCACCATCGTGGAGTAATCTGTCCAACGTCGCCTCCACTCACGAAAAAGCTGAAACGTGACGTCTGGTGAGAGGGCGGGTGGGGGTTGAACAGATGCCTTGGGAGCTGTTTGTTTGGAGGCAAGAGTACCTGGAGGACGCTGGTGTGGTGGAGGAGGGAGGATATTGGCGCCTTGATGCGCGCTACCTGCGAGTGAGAGAGGGTGGGTTAGCGCCAGGGTCGCCAATAGTGCCTCAAAACGCAACTTTTCCTCCTCTCTTCGTGTCTCCTCCCTCTGAAGTTTCATCTCTCTGCGTCTCTCGTCCCGGTCGTCCATCCACCTCAGAACTGTGGCAATGTCCGTCACTGGAGGTGGAGGATGAGAGTCTGCGCCCGGTGGAGGGGAAGGTGGTGGGGAGTCGTGTCTCCCATCTTGACATTGTCCCTTCTTACCGCCCATCTTAGTGTGTGCGTGGACTGCACTGTTTAGTATATAAAGTGGCGCCTCAACAGCTCGAACCACATATATATGACATAAACAGCGCAGAAATAACGCATAGAGTCCACTGTTCTGTCCGTGAGTGAGTGCGTGCGTGCGTGTGTGTGTGTGTGTCTGAGAGAGCATTTCGTGGTGGCCTTAATGCCGGTGGCTAGAGACGTGGCAGGGGGTGAGACCGTCAGTGTCTCCCGGGATGTCACACGAGAAGGGTGTACGCCTGCGTGCTCCGTGGGTACCACAAAAAACAGGCCAATGCTCAACTCTCAGCTCTAGACACACACTAATACACTGACACTAACACTGCCACCGTCACTAAAAAGCACTGTGACGGCCCAACACTGCACATCGCGGCGAAACACAACACAACACACTAAGAGTCGACGCGCACATCACATCGCCGGCTAACTGTCCATCGTTCACACACTTGTAAGTCCACAGATCCTAGTCACTACGCCATGTTGGTTACAAGTGTTCCCTGAAGAATGCAGTGATGGGTAGGGAAACATCGGGTAACACTGAAGTCCGTTTATTAAGGGATAGGAGAAATACAAGTGGTGACTAGCGTGTTCCATGCACGGCTCACACAGTCAGACTGAGACTGCCTTGCCATATGGCAGCCTCGGGGCAATGTTGCCACATAACACGTGCAGTGTTGCTACTCGGCACAGTAGCTTATTTACAAGGTTGCTACTAGGCACAGTAGCTTAGATGCATAACCTACAATCTAAGAAATATTCATGATGAGAAGGACATATGAAGATATATAAACTGTCGTAAGAAAATTTGTCTTTTTGAATGTACACAAATTATCACAAAGCTGAGGAATAAGAATAAGAAGATTTTTTCGTATTTGGTTGAGTTAGTCTATACCCGCGGCCACTTCTGACTGACTGACTGAACGACAATTTCTGTTCACTGAGGGACCTTTTTCTTAATATGACTATTATACACTGCTAGGCATACTTCCAAGCCAGTATTATCTCAGTATTGTATTATATTATTTTTTATGTGTTTCAACAACCTGGATTATTAAGCATAGTTCACTCAGTCTTAGTATGTGCGACAGACAACGCTTATGGAATGAAAAAAAAGACCATTCTTCCTGAAGTAAAGAAATGTTTGGATATTTCACCTCTAATGATATAATAACTTCACCAGCACATGTTAATTTATAACAGGATGTCAGGAGACAGATGGACGAACAGACAGACAGAGACAGACAGACAAATTAAAAAGTGGGAGATGTGTTGTACTGTTTCAGCCAGTGAGACCAAAAGCATGTTGGCGCGGGAGTAGAGGACGTGTGATCTAAGGTGAATTCAGTCCTTAACTAACACTCGCAGCTTACAGTGTTAATTACAGTATTCTTCTAATTCACTGTGACAAGTATATTTCTTCAAATAAATGGAGAAAAGACCATTTTGGGTTTTGCAACTTAACCCATCAACTTTTTTATATAAGCCCAGTTAATATAACTCCAAAGACGCTTATAAGCTGATGCATTCCACTAAAAGAAGGCGGCGGCCCAGCACGAATTTCACGATCTAAAGAACGAATGATGGAAAAATAGAGCATGTGAAAAGCAAAAATTTGCAGATCAACACATGATGCGTGTGTGTGTGTGTGTGAACTCAGGTGGGAGATGACGGAACTGCGACACCTCATGAACGTATTCTCACATAACTCCTGAGAACACATGTGATGGACAAAGACACACACACTCAGTAGAAGCATTATAACAATATTGTCGTAACACTCTTTGCAATACTTTCACTATAAACATAAATAACAAACAAATATCAATAACAACAGCAGGTCTGCCTCATTACCTGGCTGTCAATACATTATAAT